GACTGGGCCTGGTGGAGCACAGTCAGTCCACAGGACACAAAACATCTGCCCCCTTGATGAAAACAGTGAACCTCTACTGAGAGTCCACTCTCCCAGTGCCCCTCTGCCAGACCTGTCATCCAAGCTTGGTGTTCTGGGAAAACGGGACTCAGTCTTGGAAGGTAAGGAAGCTACTGGTTTACTGGGTTAGTCTGATATGCCAGCTCCATGCAATTATTTTTAGTCCTAAATGAGCTACTGTAGACACGTATTAGTGTCCCACAGGTTAATGTTTGTCCTTGAGAAAGAACTGATGTTAGACACTTGCAGATACTCTTTCAAGCAAAACTTTCACTTACTTAAAAAAGTTCCTAAATTTCATTTGCATCTGTTCCCCTTCCTCTCTTCTCTCCCTTTCTCTTTTCCCTTCCCTTCTCTGGAACACAAAAACAAAAATAAACAGGCGGAGCCTGGTGGCTCATGCCTGTAATCCTAGCACTCTGGGAGGCCAAGGCTGGCAGATCGCTCAAGGTCAGGAGTTCAAAACCAGCCTGAGCAAGAGCGAGACCCTGTCTCTACTAAAAATAGAAAGAAAGTAATTGGCCAACTAATATATATAGAAAAATCAGCAGGCATGGTGGGCGTCAAAAAAAAAAAAAAAAAAAAAGGCACATCAGTAGTGATGAGAAATAAAAGCTTTTTTTCAAGTAGACACTGGTACCTTTCCTTCCAAGTTACCTGATTATGGTTTGTATTGTATTGTATGGTTACCTTTTGATAACACGGAGATACCTTTACCTTAGAGATATGATAAATGTGCATATTTATCCCTGCAGGGAATATTTCCTATAGGGAAGAGTTTCTACTTTAATGAAGTCTGGATTTTTAAAAATGATCTGAATCTCTGAGTCTTCTAGTAGCAAATTTCTTCTCTTAAAAATTGGGAGTTTTTCTTTCTAATTATAGCAGCAATATAAATTGATTATAGAAAACTTGGGAATTACTGAAGAGTGTAAGGAAGAAACAAAGATTACCTTCCACCAAAAATAGGTACTATTAACATTTTTTAGTATATTCTTTTTTGCTTGAGACAGAGTCTCACTTTGTTGCCCGGGCTAGAGTGAGTGCTGTGGTGTCAGCCTAGCTCACAGCAACCTCAAACTCCTGGGCTCAAGCATTCCTTCTGCCTCAGCCTCTGGAGTAGCTGGGACTACAAGCATGGGCCACCATGCCTGGCTAATTTTTTCTATACATATTAGTTGGCCAATTAGTTTTCTTTCTATTTATAGTAGAGACGGGGTCTCACTCTTGCTCAGGCTGGTTTCAAACTCCTGACCTTGAGCGATCTGCCTGCCACGGCCTCCCAGAGTGCTAGGATTATAGGCGTGAGCCACCACGCCCGGCCTACACACTCTTTTTCAAACCAGGAATCCTTCTGAAAATAGTTTTTCTCATAAGTTATTATGTATATTCTTACATGGCATTAAATTTAGTATTCTTAACAATTTGATAGTGGCATAACAGTAACCCATCATAAAGATGGACCAAAATGCATTTAACCAAGCCCCTCTCATTGGACAGCTAGGTTGTTTCCACCATATAAATAATACTGCAATCAATATTCTTATCCATATCTTTCTACTTTTTACTTATTTTTTTTATTTTCTGATTATTTCCTAAAAGCAAAAACTGGTCAAATGCCATGAGTGTTTTTAAGTCAGAGATCATTTCTGAACATGACTATCAATTTGCTGGTGGTACTTATGTTAGAGTATACTCAATCGTGCTATCTCCTTTGTACTTCCTTAATTCTGTTCTTATAAGTCAAAAAGAAACCTTAGAACAAAGATCAATGACAACCATTCAGAAAAAGCATGCACTTTTTTTGTTGATTTTTGTTTTTGTTTTTTTTACTAACACCTTCATGAACAGCAGGTATAGGTTGGCAGTAGTCATTTTCTATTTATCCCTATAAGCCACTATGGGCACTCGGTGTTTTTTAAACAAAAAAGCCAGTACCTGGGATGGTGAGGCTGAGGCAGTCTGTGCCAACAGGTCCAGCTCCTTCCTGGCAGAGGCACTCTTGTGCTTCTGGAGGCAAATCCAAGGTGGGGAACCTCATCCTGGTGAGGAAAGTATTTGTCAGTTCTGCTAAAATTCCTCTTCTAGGCTGCAGGGATTTGCAGGCATCTTCTTTACCTTTCCTGGCATTCTCTGGCCTGGAATACCTGGTTTTATCTTGGGCCTCCCTGGCAGAGCAAGGCACTCTCCTTTTCTGTCTTCAGAGTCTTTCTCTGGGATGGGGAGAGGCCCATGGTGTTGGCACCAGGCTCATTCGGTCTGCTGGGGAGCTTGGCTGCAGGCCCCGGGTGCTCGCCGTCCCTCCTGGCCTGCTCCTCTCTGTCCCATTCACATAGCCTCAGCACCTGCCCTTGTCAGTTAGGGCTGATGTTCGTTACCCTGGATGGGAAACAGAGCTGCTTTACTATTGCTGTAATCCAGTGTTTTGCAAACTGCAGAGCCCATTGATGGGTTAGGAGGTAAGTTTAAAATGTTAAGAAAAAAAATCATCAGAGGGCTGGGGCAGGTGAGATTTGGGGGATGATGGGAGGTTGTGTGGTAGGCACAATGTGGGTACAACGTGATGGGTATGCTGGAGGCTCTGACTTCACCACAGGGCAATATATCAGCGTAGCAAAATCGCACTTGTACCTCACGAATATATATAAACAAAAAATGAATTTTAAAAAAAGAAGAAAAAAATTAGGGTGCATTACAAAAATGGTATTGTTGGCTGGGTGCAGTGGCTCACGTCTGTAATCCGAGCACTCTGGGAGGCTGAGAGGCAGGAGGATCGCTTGAGCTCAAGGGTTCAAGACCAGCCTGAGCAAGACCCCATCTCTACTAAAAAAAAAAAATAGAAAAAATTAGCTGGGTGTGGTGGTGCATGCCTGTAGTCCCAGCTACTTGGGAGGCTGAGGCAAGAGGATCGCTTGAGCCCAGGAGTTTGAGGTTGCTATAAGTTATGATGACACACCAGCACTCTAGCCTGGGCAACAGAGCGACACTCTGTTCCCCCAACACACATACACCTCAAAATAGTATTGTTTCAGGAAATTTTTTTTCAAATTTTATGTAAAACTGTATGGGCCCTATTCAAAAACCTTGAAAGCCAGGCTGTAAACTGTGCATTTCAAACTCGTGTCAGTATTCCCACAGGGATATGATGCTTATTTAGGTAGAGAATTGTGATATATTTTTATTAGCTAGGCTAATAAGTACAAGGTCATGTGGCTTAGTGAAGAAAACATTAGCTTTGGAGTTAGAACTGGGGCAATATTGTTGCTCTTACTAGCTGTGTGACCTTGGGCAACTTAATGAATCTCTCTGAGCCTCCTTAGCATTGTCTGTAAAAGAGAGATAAACATTCTTGCCTTGTAGAATTGCTGTGAGGATTAAGTGAAATAATCTATGTATAGTGCTTAACACAGGGGAGACATACGCTAAATCAAGCTCTAGTCTTTTGTCTGGGCCATAAGGCATCCTCTCTCTGCAACACGGCTATCTATAATATCACCAAACATTGTTCTGACTCTCACCTGAGGGACCCTTCTAGTTCAGAGTGTCTCACAGGGATGACAATAAGGGTTTCCTATAAAAGGAATCTCTGATCAAGAAAATTCCAGAATCACAGTTCATAGTCAAATGAAATACTAAGGAGCCAACACAGGAGTTGCAAACTTAAATATGTACAGGGGCCAGGCAGGTGACATGATTGGGTGAGAAATCAGACAAGACCACTTAGGGAATGGTGGTAATGGTGGGAATGGTGGCAAACTTGAGAGGCAGCCGCTATTCATTACACCAATCCTCAACCTGTGGAAATGCAGATCCAGCTTTATTAGATCTCTAACTTTTCAAAAGAAGCCAAATCTCTGTATTTTTTTTAATGTGAAAATTCCCACCTTTTAAATACACTACATTGTCAAAATGAAGCTTCTGTGAGTTAGACAAGGCCAGGGGCTGCCCGTTTGCACTGACCTGACCCTTCATGGCTCGGCTTACTTAGTGCAGTCCCCCCAGCGCTCAAGGAAAACCTTCCGACGTATCCCTATAGAGAGCTCTCTTAAACTTACTATTTTATAGGAAAAATACACTTTTAGCATAGAATACATAACTCCAATAATAGACAAAATTTCCACCTAATGAAGAGGTGAGCCATCTTTTTCACAAGGGCTAAATACCACAAACAGCAGGAAGGAATTGGGCAAAACTGGCAAGTAGGTAATGTTCCATTGCCCCTTTCTTGGTTTGGTTAACCAAAATCACTCATAAGACATTTATTCCTTTTTTAAAAACAGCTTTGTCAAAATATAATTCACAATTGAGATCTGAGAGCTACAGTGTAGAGAGATAAAACAAAAACAAAACAAAGCCAAAACATAATTCATACATCATACAATTTACTCACTTAAAGTGTACAAGTGAATAGTTTTTGGCATATTCACAGAGTTGCACAGCTATTACTATAATCTAATTTTAGAACATTTCGTTCTCCTAAAAGAAACTCCATACCCATTAGCAGCCATTCCCCTTTCCCCCAAGCCCTGGCAACCACTAATCTACTTTCTGTCTATAAAATGTCCTGTCCTGGACATTTCATGTGAATGGAATGGTACAATATGTGTCCTTGTACTGTCTGGCCTCTTTGACTTAGCATAATGTCAAATATACTTGATTGTATGGATATACCACATTTTATTTATCCACTTACCAGTTGATAGACAGTTGAGTTGTTTCCACTTTTTGGTTATTACAAATAAAGCCACTGTGAAGATTCATATACAGGTGTTTGTGTGGACATGTTTTTGTTTCTCTTGGGCATATGCCTAGGAGTGGAATTCCTGGGTCATCTGGTGACTATCTATGTTTAGCCTTTTGAGGAATTGCCAGACTGTTTTCCAAAGTGCCTGCACCATTTTACATCCCACCAGTAATGCATAAGGGTTCCAATTTCTTTCTTCACATCCTTACCCATACTTGCCATTGTCTATCTTTTTGACTTATAGCCATTCTCCTGGATATGTGGTGAGACATTTATTCTTAAGGTGTAAGGCCCTTTTAATAGGGTAGCTGAATTTAATCTGTTGATGTGGTTATTGAGATCAAGACCTAAACTAGTGATCTTTTCTGAATTTATTTATTTTTCTTTCTTTTTATTTATTTATTTATTTTTAATTTATTACTTTAATTTCAGTGCCACCATCAAGGACTTTTCTGAATTTAGATCACTATTTTGTACTAATGCGTTTCCCCTTTTCATGTGTACCGTTCTTTGACTAACCAGAGGACAGTCCTCTCATTAAGGAAGGGTATGATATTTCTCCCTTTCTAATCAGTGAAATGTTCCAATTCTAGAGAAATGATCAGTGTAAATTAGTTTTGGCATCATCTTCTCTGCCTCAGCCATCATCTTCTCTGCCTCAGCCAGCATCAATGCTGCCCACAGCTGAAGCCACTGATTTCCCCAGAAAACCCAGGCTGAGGCAGGAAGTACTCGAGCAGCTGGGGAAGAGGTTTTCCTCCTCCATATTCTGACAATGACAGCACCACCTCGCTCCCCTCCACCTCTGGTCTTTCTTTGTGCCTACCCATTCAGTCATGAAACATCCTTTCAAGTTAGATAAGGTTGGAAATGTTGGGGAAACTGAGCAAAGACCTTAGTAGCTACTGGAAGTCCATGCACTGTGAGTTGAGGGGACTGGAACTCAGTGTCCTCACCTCTGGTCTGGAGTTCATAAATACGTGCTGCTCTCTTCTTTTCCTGAATTTCTCTTTCCTTTATTTTCACCACCCTAGGGGGAAAAAAGTTTTCAGTATGTGAGATCCTTAGTATGGCTGATCTCATCAGACATTTGGGTTTACTGTTTCAACTTCTTTCAGAAACTGGCCCTTTTTACAAAGAGACAAGAGAATTCACACAGCCTGGCTTTAGGATTTATTGCATTGGGGAAGAATCAATATCCTTAGCCAATGAGAGACTTACAGGTCCAGGTCTGCGTTTTGCATTTTTTTTACATTAGAGTTAACTTCCAAAAGCTGATTAGAAGCAATCTTTGGACAGACATTCTTACAGTTTTTTGTGATAAATTCGTATCTGACTTGCCATAATTCACTGTATCCACCAAGAAATAACCTTGGCCTAGTTGGGAACTGGTAAATACTAGGACTGAATGTGTTTATCTACATTCAAGATCTCCTCTCACCTCCTCTCACTGTGCCTCTTCCTTTTTAAGTTGTTAATATATGAATAAGGTGTAATTGGCATTTATCCTCAATTTATTTATTTATTTTGAGGCAGGGTGTTGCAGGGTGAGGCAGAGTATAGTGGCGTCATCACAGCTCACTGCAACCTCAAACTCCCAGGTTCAAGCGATCCTCCTGCCTCAACCTCCCAAGTTGCTGGGACTACATGCCTGGCTAATTTTTCATAGAGACAGGATCTCGCTCTTGGTCAGGCTGGTCTCAAACTCCTGGCCTCAATCAATCCTCTGTCTGGGCCTCCCAGAGTGCTAGGATTACAGGCCTGAGCTACTGCACCTGGCCCTATCCCCAGTTTAGTATCCTAACATTTTCTTATTACTTATTATTCTATTTTTCTGCCTTCTGATTTAGAAAGACCCAAATGCTTAGACCAGGCGTCCTCAAACTACGGCCCATGGGCCACATGCAGGTGTTTTTGCCCGTTTGTTTTTTTACTTCAAAATAAGATATGTGCAGTGTGCATAGGAATTTGTTTATAGTTTTTTTTAAAACTATAGTCCGGCCCTCCAACAGTCTGCGGGACAGTGAACTGGCCCCCTGTTTAAAAAGTTTGAGGACCCCTGGCTTAGACCCAAAGATGGAAAAAGGAAATTAAAACAATAATTTGCAATAAGTATTATTTTGACTATTAATTCATGTACTCAACAGACTTTATTTAGTGCCTGCTCTTGGCCAGGCACTGTGCTAGGCTCTGGGATTGAAAGATAAGATAGGGTCCCTGCCTTTAAGGGGTATAGTACAGTGAGACAAGCAGACACAGAACTGGATGATGAGAATTGGGAGTGCAGTAATTAATGTGCAGAATTCTGTGGGATTGCAGAAGAGAGGCACTTCCCATATCCTAGCGGGGATCAAGGAAGGGCATAGATTACATTAATGAAGATCTGTAATTCAGTTGGCTAAATTGTGCATGGGAAAGGGTCTTCAGGTTTTTTCAATTAGATAACTTTGTAATTTGGAGTAAAACAGCCAATAACTCTAAAGTAAAAGATATGTAAATTTGTAACTAAGGATTCATGTGTAAGAAGAAAAAAGTCTAATATCATGAATAAGTGAACATCAAGGTTGCAGGGTTAAGGGTAGAAGTTGTAGGTTTTATTTTAAAATTCTTTCCTTTTTATGTCCTTCCCCACCTATATTATGGAAAATCAAATATAAGAAATGAAGTGCCTGCAAGTGGTGGTTTTTAAACTCTTCTCTCTGACATGGCCTCTGTTACACTTGGGAATAAATAAAGGTACCCTTACTACACTGGAGGAAGATTAGTGCTGTTTGAGGTTAAGATTAAAAAAAATAAAATAAAATAAAAAATAAAACTAGATTTGCAACTACTGCCCTTATATGAAATTAAAATATGAAGAAAAACTCAAGGATAAGTGCACTGAGGTTTTCTAAATTATGGGATTGAAGGGGTCTGGATAACATAATTTTAAGCCTTTAAAAAAAACATTTAATCTCTACAACAACCCTATGGTCCCCTCCATTTTATAGCTGAGAGAATTGAAGCACAAAGAGGTTTAAAAACTTCCCCAAGATCATAGTGCTAGTAAGTAGCAGAGCTGGGATTTGAACCCAAGTCTGTTTAATTCCAGTGCTTATTACTCACCATACCATTCTGCCAAAATAAAAACCTCGGGTGAGTCCATTGCTTGCATGTTGTCCTATGGCCATAAACACACCCTGGCAGGAGTAAGCTGGTATAGACAACTGGTAAAGTGTGTGGCTGGGTCAGTACAAATTCAATGCTGCTCCTGGAAAATATTAATAGCCATATTCAAGTAAGAGATTTTCATATCATGGATGCTATTGAAAGTATCTTAATCATTCTTGTGACTATTTTGTAATATAAGGCATTGTGAAGACAAAACAATACTGAAATAAATATCTAGATTTGAATAAGTTATAAAATTTGAATGATTACCAGTGGGAAGTAGAGAAAAGTAAATATGTGTGAAAATAACAATATAAAAATTAATTTTAGATATATTCTTTGAAAACACTGTGTGTACATTATACAAGTTTATATGTTCTTTAATATTATATAGCCTTTTCCACATGCATGTGGTATATTGTCCATTCACCACTATAATCCCTGTGACCAATAGTATATTTTTTAGAAAAAGGAATAAACATTAAAACAGGAAAGATTATCTAAGCCTATTCTCAAATAGTTTAATAAATTTGAGTAAATAAATTGGGTTATGGTTGCTTAGGAGCCATATAAAAAATCAAATTAACACACTATAGGTGATTTGTTTTAACTTTGATCTAATTAAATTTGGAGAAATTGGTTGTTGGATTTAGAAGTGTATAAAATACCATTAGAAAGTATGGGGGGGAGGGGAAGTCTGTTATAAAGAATATGGGTGTGGTCTGCTCAGGCTAAAAGGAATAGATAGTAGTTTCATAAAGGACTGATACAACTGTAAGGTCTTCAGAACTAACCATTACAGACAGCACATTTTCTCCACAGACATAAGTATGTCTATTAATACCAGCCAGCTTGGTGAGTTAGAGAAACCACAGCCTGTGGATTTGGGCATATGCACTCTCTGCCTGCATCTAATCCTTCGGGTAACAATATACCTACAACTCCTGTAATCCTAGAGCAGTTACATGGATGCACTAAGTGGTGTGATGGGAAGGAAAGATAGCATCACAAGGATTCGTTTGATTATAACAGTAATCCACACCAAGTCAAATAAAATAGCCAAACAGTTTAAAATGTGGCCTCTAATGAATTTGTTAATTCTAGCAGGCCCTCACAAACATTTCCTGCCAGAGTACCCCATATCAAAACGAAGTGGCTGTGCTTTAATTACACGGAATAATTATTTGATTTCCAGGAAGTTAAGACAGGGCTTTGTATTTAAATAAAAAGTTCTAGACATGCTGTGAAACTCGATCAAACCCAGAAAAAGGGTGAAACTGAATGCCTGCTCAGTGAGTCAAGATTTCAGCTGTTCAGCAAGCCTGACGTGAGGGCTTATGAGCCCAGAAAAGGGGCATTTTAAACCCGGCTGGCTGGATCGTGTCACTTTCTTATAGAAGCCCTGCGTTTCCAGAGACCTAAAGCATAAAGCAACCAGAGGCTGTCGAGGGGCTCGAGACTCGGCGGCTTCCGCCCCTCTGCACTAGCAGAGACCCCAATTTTTAGCGGACATTCTCTCATAGCGTCGCCCTCACTTTTGAAGGACCATTAAAAGCCTGGGGCCTCTTATCTCAACGGCTTTGGGCGTGAGTGTGGGGCAAGAAGGGGGGGGCGAGGCCTGTGGGTGTCTCTTTTGCCTGAGGAGTTGGAGGCACTTGTGGAAAAGTCAGGCCCTTTTCGCTCCGGCGGCCGCTCCGGTGTGGGGCTGGCTTGGGTTAGACACATGCACACATACACCATAGAGCTCTGCTTTCCCGTAGCAGCTGCTGCCTCTGCCTCTGCCTCTCCCGCCTCAGCCTCTTTGCCCGGCATACACACACATTCGGATTTACGCGCTGTTTCAATCCTTGATGACGTGTCCCCGGAGACAGCCAATAGCAAACGGGCTCTGGTCAGGACAATGGGAGGTATCGGGCCAATGAGCGAGCCCCGTGAGTTGGCGGTAGCCAATAGGAGCCGCGCTGGCTGGAGAGTAATGTTACAGAGCGGAGAGAGTGAGGAGGCTGCGTCTGGCTCCCGCTCTCACAGCCATTGCAGTACATTGAGCTCCATAGAGACAGCGCCGGGGCAAGTGAGAGCCGGACGGGCACTGGGCGACTCTGTGCCTCGCTGAGGGTGAGTCTGGGGCAGCGCCGCGGCGGGGAAAGCGCCTCCGGCAGCTCCCCAGCCCGCGCGGCGGCCGGATCCCCGCGGCCGGGAGCCGGCGGGTCAGGATCCACACAAAGGCAAATGAGGGGGGGGACCGTGGGGGGAACTGCGCACGGAGCGAGCCTCTGCTCGGGCGCCGGGGACGCTGCCCCGCGCCGGAGCCCCGGCCCACAGGCTGCCTGAGGCGCCGGGAACCCCGAGCCCCGCGAGTTTCCACCCGCGGCGCCGTCCGCGCTGACTGGCGCAAAAAAAATTTTTTTTTTTAATTAAAAAATTTTTAACGTGTTTTCGGCCCCCGGGCCGGGCGTTCGGGCGGGCGGCGTGCGCGGAGCGCGGCCGGGGCGGCGGCGGGAGGGCAGCGGCGGCGCTTCCCCGGCTGCATTGGCCGCCGCCGCAGCGAGCGCGCCGGCGGGGAGCGCGGCCGGCGGGCGGCGGCGGCGGCGAGGCGGCGCGGCGGCCGGGGCGCGGTGCGGGCCGGCCGGCCTCGGCCGCGCGCGGCGGCGGCGGCGGCCCGGCGGCGGGGGGAGCGGCGCCGCTGCGCTCGCTGGAACATGGCTGACTCGGGCCCGGCGCTGCTGGCTGGAGAGAAAACAAGGCGGGCGGGCGGGCGGGGGAGCTGGGCGCAGCAGTTCCGAGGCAACTTTTTTTTTCCTCTCTCTTTTCACAGCCCCGCGTTCTCCGTGCGGGGGCGGCGGGGCGCGCGGGCCCGCGCGGAGGGAGACGGGGAGCGGCGGGCGGGTGGGCCCTCGCGGCGCCCCCACCCCGCGGCCGGAGGGGGAGGGGAGCGAGGGAGGGCCGCGCGCCCCCCGCCCCTCCCCCGGCCGTAATGGCCGAGTGTGTGCGCCAGAGCGCGGCGCGCACCCCGCCCGCCGCCGCCTCGCTCGCACTCACACACTCACACACACACACACACAAAGGGAAGGAGCCATATTCTCGCTCGCGCTCGCCCTCGCGGCGGCGGCGGCGGCGCAGGCGGGGAAGACGCGCAGCGGCCATTCCGTGCGCGCCGGCCCCGGCGGCCGCGGGCGGAGCCAGCCCCCATTTCGAGCGGGGCTTCTCCCTGCGCCGAGCCTGACAAAATGGGGGCGGCGGCGGCGCGGGCCTGCCGGGCGCACGTGGCGGCCTCCGGCCTGGGAGCCCGGCCGCGAACCCTCGCCCCGGCGCGCGGCCGCGGGCGAAGTTCTGGGGGCGGGGGCCCGCCCCGCGCGGGAGTCACCCCAACTTTCACCGGCCCGAAAAATACTCCCCTAGTGGGGGGGAGGGGGCCACCGAGCCACGGGCAGGAGTGGCTTTTGTCCCTCATCCTTGTTTACTCGGAGAAACTTCAGACCGGACGTGTTTAGTCAGAACAGAAATACATCTCTGGGCCAAACCGATAGGAAGCTGCCTCGCGGTGGCACCGCCACCCCCCAGCCCGGTTCCGAGCGCTGGAGCTTGCTGCTGCTCTCTCCTCGCAGCAAAGTTTTATGCAAAGGGGGTATTTTAAAAGTAATTGGGAAAACTTTAGATGCACGGTGATTTATTTTTTTAAGGTTTCATAATTTGGAAGGGTCTGCTCACTTAAGCTCTTCCCTGTTCTCTATCTAGCAAAGATCCACGAATTGGCAGCACGTTTTCTGACCTTTGGTTTTCTTGGTTAAAAATGGTTTTCTGGATTTAAAAAATTGTTTAAATGACTAGTTAGATACTTAGAACAGACACAGGCAGATATGGAATGCTGTTTAAGTATATACCCTTGTTTTTATACTTTTTGAGATCACGTTGAAGGACCGTTTTTTTTTGCTTGGCATAGCCCCTTCTAGGAATTGGCTGTCACTGCCATGTTGTCTGGTTTTTATGGAGGTTAATGTCACTCTTAAATAACCAGTACTTTAGTTTTCATTCAGTTCCTAACAAAGTACTTTAAGCTTAAGCTCTCACCTCTTAAATGTCATAGTTTTATTGCTAACATCAAACATTTATTTTTTAGAAAAATAACTAAACATGGGCAAAGGAGATCCTAAGAAGCCGAGAGGCAAAATGTCATCATATGCATTCTTTGTGCAAACTTGCCGGGAGGAGCACAAGAAGAAGCACCCAGATGCTTCAGTCAACTTCTCAGAGTTTTCTAAGAAGTGCTCAGAGAGGTGGAAGGTAAGAAGGCTTAAGATGTACTAACAAGATGATTAAAAAACAGTTATGATTTCCTAATGGGGGGGTTTAAAAGCCTAGCTGGTGTTCTTACAATGTGAGGCTATTGAATAGCAAAGGACATGGTTTTACTCGTTTTGTGTTTTTGAGAGTGATGTATTAAAATTTTTATAACCTAAGTTTGCAAGTAATTCTTTTGTAGACCATGTCTGCTAAAGAGAAAGGAAAGTTTGAAGATATGGCAAAGGCGGACAAGGCCCGTTATGAAAGAGAAATGAAAACCTATATCCCTCCTAAAGGGGAAACAAAAAAGAAGTTCAAGGATCCCAATGCACCCAAGAGGCCTCCGTGAGTATCTTGCCTATATTTATTTTCCAGGCATGTTTTACAGTAGAATCTGATAGAAATTTAGCAAGCCACCTGTGAGTTGAGTGCAAAGTTTCTTAGCTAATATTTCACATTGGTATATTTAAATGTAAGTTCCTGTTGGATGAGAGTGTTAGAACATTTGGATTAGACACTTGGCCTCCTTTGCCTAGTATATCTTGTAATATTTGTAGACTGTTCTTCTGGAGCTCAGAAGAACATTTAACTCTTACAAGTTAAATAATTGTAACTTAAGCTTTGGTTGTGAAGGATATTTAGCTTATTATATTATATATTTACCCTGTCCAATGCACAAGAGAATTTTATCAGGCTGTTAATTGGAAGCTGTTAATAGGCAGCTTTTATATAGTAGTATAGTGTATATATGATGACAGTATTTGTTTTGTGATCTACTAATTTTAGAATCCTAAAATTAAATTTCTCCTTTTATAGTTCGGCCTTTTTCTTGTTCTGTTCTGAGTATCGCCCTAAAATCAAAGGAGAACATCCTGGCCTTTCCATTGGTGATGTTGCAAAGAAACTGGGAGAGATGTGGAATAACACTGCTGCAGATGATAAGCAGCCTTATGAAAAGAAGGCTGCAAAGCTGAAGGAAAAGTATGAAAAGGTAAGTGATGGAAGGAGGAGGTATGCCAGATGTTGAATGATGGTAGTTGTTGTCTCATCTTAATTTCCTGTTTTGAGTTTGAGGTGTAATAGTTTCTAGTGTGTAACTGCTACATTAAGTATGATGTTGACTTAAGTCATCAATAATATGGAGGACCAAATAAATTGTTACATGATTAGACTTAGACAAAGACTATACATTTAAATTGATGTTATTATTTCATAGTATGTCCAAATTGGTGAAAGTTTTGGTGGGTACTCTAGTCAAAAATAATCATTTGTAAATGGTCAAACATATAATTTAAAAATTAGGCTGGATAAAGTAATATAGGCTATATTTTTCATAATCATACCCTGAAACATTTATGTATCTTCAGGTACCCCCCAAAAATTACACCATCACTAAGTTAAATTTCAAGTCTGCCTATCTGTACAGTAAATAAGATGAAGGAAATCTATAACTCATAATTAAAATTGAAATATTAAGTTCCTAATTTTTAGCTTCTTTAGTCATTCTGAAAAATATGTATTTGTAGATGTTTAACCTATTTGCATGCTTACTGGCAAGTTACTTTTTTTTTTTTTAAGAGGAAATGTTCTCTGGATTGGGGTCTGACAATATAAACCTGTAGAATGCTTTTTTGCATTCAGAAGGTGGCAGTGTCTACCCTTTAATCAAAGTCTCTACATTCTAGTTTTAATAAACTAGAGTTAGGATGTTGTACATAATTGCACCTCAATGAGGCATAACTTTTGCAAATACTAGACCATGCCATTTAATGAGTTATAGATTGCTATAATTATAATGATCCCCATAGTATTTTAATGTGCATAACTTGACGTTCTGGTTATTTCTGGAGTTGAGTGGGTCTACATGTGTCTGATAATTTTAGTGTGACTTGTTTCTTTCTCATAGTTTTGCCATGTTCTATTTCTCCCCTTACTTAACAATTTTTTCGTTTCCTACTGTTTTATCTTGCCTTTATTTTGGAAGGATATTGCTGCATACCGAGCTAAAGGAAAGCCTGATGCAGCAAAAAAGGGAGTCGTCAAGGCTGAAAAAAGCAAGAAAAAGAAGGAAGAGGAGGAAGATGAGGAAGATGAAGAGGATGAAGAGGAGGAGGAAGATGAAGAAGATGAAGATGAAGAAGAAGATGATGATGATGAATAAGTTGGTTCTAGCGCAGTTTTTTTTTTCTTGTCTATAAAGCATTTAACCCCCCTGTACACAACTCACTCCTTTTAAAGAAAAAAATTGAAATGTAAGGCTGTGTAAGATTTGTTTTTAAACTGTACAGTGTCTTTTTTTGTATAGTTAACACACTACCGAATGTGTCTTTAGCTAGCCCTGTCCTGGTGGTATTTTCAATAGCCACTAACCTTGCCTGGTACAGTATGGGGGTTGTAAATTGCATGGAAATTTAAAGCAGGTTCTTGTTGTGCACAGCACAAATTAGTTATATATGGGATGGTAGTTTTTCATCTTCAGTTGTCTCTGATGCAGCTTATACGAAAATAATTGTTGTTCTGTTAACTGAATACCACTCTGTAATTGCAAAAAAAAGTTGCAGCTGTTTTGTTGACATTCTGAATGCTTCTAAGTAAATACAATTTTTTTATTAGTATTGTTGTCCTTTTCATAGGTCTGAATATTTCTTCTTGAGGGAAGCTAGTCTTTTGCTTTTGCAATTATGGATCACATGAGTTATTACAGTGTTTATCTTTTCATATAGTTAGCTGATAAAAAGCTTTGTCTGCACACCCTGCATATCATGATGGGGTAATAAAAATTAAATTGAGACAGTTTCATCTATAACTTAAACTCCAAAATTGATAAATTTCACATAGCCCACTTATATTTAACAAAGTGAAGGTAACCAGTCTACTCACAGCATGGCATTATTAGAATCAAAACATTTTGAGAGTTGTCCTTGAAGGACTAATAGAAAAGTATGTTCTAATCTTTACATGAGGACTCTATTCTTTAACTCCCATTACCATGTAATGGCAGTTATATGTTGCAGTTCCCACATTAAAGAAGACCTGAGAATGTATCCCCAAAAGCGTGAGCTTAAAATACAAGACTGCCATATTACATTTTTTGTTGATGTTATTCCCAGTGAAGACTAAGTGCTGGCCATAAATGTCTTTTCCCATTTATCTAAATATGGACTGCTCAGGAAACTTAAGGTTCTCCGTTAAGAGTATCTTTAATTAATTGGGGCCAGCCTTTAAAATGATACCACATTTTAAAATTGGGTTTTCCTGTATTATGGCTTGCCATTTTACAAATCAAATTGATGAGGAAAGGTGAAACTTAAACTTTGCATTTCAATACAAATTATTGAATTTATTTGAATTTAATTTTTCTTTACAAAACCCAAACTGATTTGTTGAAGTTATGTTTATCTGCTTAGCAGTTTAGGGAACAATTTGGCAATTTTGAGGTTTTTTGAGATTATCCTTCTCTTAAAAGTGCCAGTATTTTAAAATAGCGTTCTTGTAATTTTACACGCTTTTGTGATGGAGTGCTGTTTTGTTATATAATTTTGACTTGGATTCTTTCCATTTGCATTTGTTTATGTAATTTTAGGAGGAATACTGAACATCTGAGTTCTGGATGATACTAATAAACTAATAATTGCAGAGGTTTTAAATATTAGTTAAATGGCTTTCACTTAAGAATTTAAGATTTTTGTTATATATTTTAATCTTGTTTCCAATAATACCTCTTAGCAACACCTTTTAAATATAAGGACTGGCAAAGTTTTTCCTTTTAAAAATACTCACTTTATGCTTATAAATAGGTTAATGGGCTGATAAAAACAGGTTTTGTCAAACATTCTAAGTACTCTCAGTGGATGCTATATATATAAATGAGGAAAAACTAATTTTATTCTCAGAATGATTAAACAAGATTTTTTAAAGTAAGGCACGTGTAAGTGAAAAGCAGGGTTAGTGATGGAAAGGCTGTAATTGTTTCAACATTTATCAAATTTTTAGTCAAAGGGAACAAATGACTCATTTAATCTGATTTAGATGGAAGTTTCTATAGCTATAGAATCAACATTAGTAAGTCTGATCTATTTAAAAATGAATTCTGGCAAGGAAACTTAACTTTAGTAGGTGTGTCATGACAACTACCGTTTTTGAGATGTTGAAAATGAGAAAGATTTTTTAGGTTACTTTTTAACTGACCTCAGATCTTAACAGGAAAAAATGGACAAAAATTCTCTTCAACCTGAAAATTAATAGTTTAGTGTTCCAACAGTATTCCTGGGAAGTTAGATGTCTAAAACTCAAGTTTGTGGAGGTGAGAGGCAATTATAAGACTTAGATGATTCAGTGTAAAATCTGTTAAAACTGGAGATAGGTTTTTCAGAATGTGTAGGAACTATTTTAATTCTGAGGTAGTTAATGGTGCTGTGGGATTTAAAGATTTTCATAACATCAAGAACAGATTAAATAGCATATAATTTAGTATTTTAAATCAGTATATTACATTCTGATTAAAATTTCTCTAAATCCAATTTCCTAACTTGCTGTGTAAAGGTTGAGAGTTGTTGCTAGTTAACTGCTATAATTCTGGTGCTCTCCCATCAAGGTGTTGATAATTTGTCATACTTGCTTTCTTACAGCGATAGCTGAAAAGTCTTGTATGTGTCCTGTGTACTGCAGGGTTAGGGATTAAGTAAGTGATAAAGATAGGAAAAGTGCCCAGGTGACACAAAGTAGCCATTCAACAGATTATTTCCTTCACTGCCTTGAGAATCTAACATGCTGAGACATGATGGTAGTATCTAGCTATATTGAAAACTGCACAGGAAAGACGAAATAGTGATTTTTGAATAAACACGGCTACTACCTTGCTTGACCACATGTCTATAATGAAAGTTCAAATTTAGGTCTGGTTGGTATAACACAACCACCTGTAAGAACTTGAAATAGCTTTCAGTACCAGTCAGGCATTTTTGCATATGATAGTATCTGCAAATTTGCACAAATCAAACTTATGTCGGAATTAACTTGGCTTAGATGTGAACCATTGGCTATTTGGCTGTTTTATTAATAAGGGATTGCGATAATAGTCACTTAAATTTATTTTTTATATTTGTGCTTTATGTCACTTTCAAGTGACCCCTGAAATGCCTTTTTTTTTTTTTTTTTTTTTTTTTTTTAAGAGAAGGTCTCACTTTTGCCCAGGCTGGAGAGTAGTTGGCACAATCATAGCTTACTGCAGCCTTCAACTCCTGGGCTCAAGTAACCCACTTCAGCCTCCTCTGAGTAGCTGGGACTACAGATATGTGCCACTATGCACAGCTAATTTTTAATTTTTTGTAGAGATGGGGTCTTGCTATGTTGCCTAGGCTGGTCTCAATCACTTGGCCTCTAGTGATTCTGCCTTGGCCTCCCAAAGTGCTGGGGTTACAGGCATGATAGGATGCCTTTTAGGCTGGGCATGGTGGCTCACCTGTAATCCTGGCCCTCTGGGAGGCTGAGGTAGGAGGATTGTTTGAGCTCAGGAGTTCCAGACCAGCCTGAGCAAGAGCAAGACCCCATCTCTACTAAAAAAAAAAAACAGAAATTAGCCAGACAACTAAAAGTATATAGAAAAAAAATTTGCCAGACATGATAGCATATGCCTTTAGTCCCAGCTGCGCAGGAGGCTGAGGCGGTAGGATTGCTTGAGCCCAGGGGTTTGAGGTTGCTGTAAGCTAGGCTGGGTAACAGAGACTCTCTCTCTCTCTCAAAACATAAAATGCCTTTTAAAACTAGATAAAAGCCAGAAAATGGTTTGGATAGCTATCCCGCAAAAGTTGGAAGGGATGGTTCATTTTCTTTTCCCCTTCTAAGAGCAAAGCAGTGCTGACACTGGCCACAACTTGGGAAATTCTCTGGGTCTCAGCCAAGTTGCTCCCTGGAGTAATGAGGCAAAATGATGCTGTTAGAGGATTGCTGCTATTTCACGATAAGTCATGGCATGGGATCATATCACAGAACGTGGAATGACACATAACATACCACACTCCAGAATATAATGCTCATCTTCCAATGAGTATCAGTCCAAAATAGATCCTATCTACCAGGAGAAAATGTAAGTAATCACTTTTGCCTCTAGGCCTGCCCACTAGTTTGGACCAGGCATCCTCAAACTACAGCCTGCGGGCCACCTAGCACATTTATCCCGCCCTCCAGGTGTTTTGCTGCAGCTGCCTGTCCTGCTTAGTAGCCCATGAAATACTCATTTTTAAAAGATGAAAAATTAAAATACTGAAATTCTATTTGTCCAGAGCTACCCAAACACAACTGGGAACACAGACGGAATTGCAACTGAAAGACCCTGAGTATAGCTATTGCTTATTTAAACTGCTAACCTATTTTTCTAAAAAGTTACCCCAGGCCAGGCGCGGTGGCTCACGCCTGTAATCCTAACACTCTGGGAGGCTGAGGCGGGAAGATCGCTCAAGGTCAGGAGTTCGAAACCAGCCTGAGCAAGAGCGAGACCCCGTTTCTACTATAAATAGAAAGAAATTAATTGGCCAACTAATATATAGAGAAAAAATTAGGCAGGCATGCTGGCGCATGCCTGTAGTCCCAGCTCCTTGGGAGGCTGAGGCAGCAGGATTGCTTGAGCCCAGGAGTTTGAGGTTGCTGTGAGCTAGGCTGATGCCATGGCACTCACTCTAGCCTGGGCAACAAAGCAAAACTGTCTCAAAAAAATAAAAATAAAAAGTTACTGCAATGACTAAGTTTATCCATTGCGTGAAAATGAGGAGGTTCCTTCCCATTTTGGCATGGAAGTATCTGGTAGTTTTCATTATTGGTGTTTTATCTGGGCAGACAGTGTGTCAATCTTATAGAAGCTGCAGTCAATAGTTTTGGAAAACCAAGTTTGGCTATAAGGTATAGCAAAAGAATGAGAAATTAAAGGATCATGTGGGCCAGATTCTAGGGCTTAGGAGATAGGTTACAGTATTGGAATGGACACTGAGGATTTGCCTTAAATGGAACAAAGTTCACCACTGCTTCACCTCCTTGCTGGAGGTGGTACTTTAAGGGTAAAGGACATATTCCAAATGGGTTCATAAACACAGTTTTGTTTATAGGCTGAAAGAGGAATTAAGCTTGGTTCCCTAGAGTTACATAGAATCTCTAATTACAGGCTTTACCATATTTTTGTTTATTGAGTTTCAATTAAAGATCATCTTACAAAGTGTGCAGAACATAACCAGGTAAGAGAATAAAAAGTCTTATAAAATAAGTATCTGTTGGGTGTGAGAGAGTACTAAAGATAAAGAAAAACACGACCCTCAATTGCCAGACCCTCAGGTGCCAGTGTAATGCCCGGGATGGTATGAAGAATAAGGAGGCTATTCAGAGCAAAGACATTGCAACTTGCCCACCCCTACCACCTCCTGAATTTGAAGGAAGCCCAGGTCCTGCTCTGCCTTAGGGAATCAGCCTGACTGGAGAGCCTCTTTTCAGAGGAGGGCAAGAGTTGTCACTGCTTTGGGAGCCATCAACAGAATAAGGCATAGCACCAATGCAGCAGAATCATAGCCTGTTAGAGGCCAGGGGGCTCTAAGAGTTATTGCAGTCTCATCTGAGCATTTTTTT